AACGTTGCACAGATATAAAGTTCTCATAACTGAGGTTCTTCAGTTTTTGTTTCATTTTCCCCCTAATTTCGTTTGTAAGGTTTTTTTTTTAAAGGGAAAAAGCAACTTGCGAGAAACTCTAACTTCATTTCCGTGAACTATTTATACCTTATAGGGAACAGTTCATAACACTTGCGAGAAACTCTTAACTTCATTTCCGTGAACGATTTATACCTTATAGGGAACAGTTCATAACTGCTATGACTAACCCCGAAGCAAGGTGCAGTAATCTGCAGAGCAGGGCTTTGTGGGAGGAAAATCCTAGGATTTGGGTTATGATTGGGCTGATTAAATCCCTTGTGAGGGGAAACTGGTGCTGGTGCGAACTGGTCCCTAAGGTGAATAAATAAAGACCAGAACAGAAAGCTATACACTCTTTTATTCCACAATTAGTTTCCTACAGTGAAAACTTCCCTTCCCCCATCCCCCCTCCATTTTTCTGCCTGTGTTGCATCATGAGAATTTGGTTAGGAGTAGGCATCCAAAGACCCGCCCATTTTGGACAAGCATACAAGGCGTACAAGACATTGGACCGAATTGGAGGCTAGTTACTCGCATAGAATCCCTCTACGTGTAGCTTGCTGAAATGAGAATTTAAGAGTGGGCGACCGGCATGCTTAATCTCTTTCTTTCATCCTTCTTCCTCCTCCTCCTCCACTACGTACTCGCCCAGTTTCTTCCACTGAAGTGGAGTCTGAAAGCCACCCTCTGGGCTATGCCTGTCTCATTTAATCTCCACCCCGTTCGCCTTCCCCGACTTCCCCCCGCCCCCCTTAACAGTGTCTCTTCGCTGGATCTGCCCACCATGGACACCATCGAGGCCGATTATCCATCTTCCACACCTCCTCGCAGCGAAACCCGCAAGCCTCTCTGAAAGATCTGCAAGGCAGCCGAAGCGGCGCCCCCCCGCACATCTTTCTTGGACCCCTGGGGAAGCGCGGTTTCCTGGCGTCGTTGGTTTGGGTGCAACCCGCACATCAAAGTCAAGGCGAGGGGGAAACTCCCGTTCATCTGAATGACACGAGTCTTTCTTTCTCCACTCCTCCGAAGACCCAGGAAAGCATCCCCAGTCCTATACAAGGCAATGGCGAAAGTCTGTTGGATTAAAATGGCTCTTGACTGCGCTGGCAGTGGAAACAGATCAAACCCATCGTTTTGTTCATGTATGTATCTCTGTGTGTGCGCGCGCGTGTGCGTGTGAAGGGAAGTGACGGCCGGTATGGGGTGCGGGAAGAAGGGAGCCGTGCTATCGTTCATACTTGTGCTTTGATCATTGGTTACATTGCTGCTTCTAAAATGCACACGCACGCACACAGGCGCTCACTCCAAACCCAGCTACAGCAACCCTTTCTCAGACTTTGCAGGAGCAGGTGGACGGATAGAGAGCAGCATACGGGCCATTCATCCCTATCAATCCTGCAGCAAATGAAAGGGAATTAGCGACTTGTTGGTTTAATTGATCACTGGCTTGGTTTCCCGGCAAACGGTCCGCGCCTCAACCCTTCCATCCCTCACCCTCCAGTAGCCATCGGGTGGTGGAAATGGTCATTTCCCGCCCCCGCACTTCCAACCAGCTAGTGCGTCCCTCCAAGGACTCACGGAAAGGAGAGGAACCAGCCTTTACGAAGAAAAAGGATCTTCGCGCCCCAAAATTTCCAGGTGGTGTGCGTGTGTGTGTGAGAGAGTGTGCGTGAGAGTGTTGGGGGAGGATTCAATTAGAAAATAAAAGCGATCCTCCATGTCAGTGGAAACCCCCCCTCCTCCTCTCCACCTGATATATTGTTAGCCTAATTTAGTAACCACCTCCCCTTCTTCTCTGATCCACTCCCCGGCACGTCAAAACACGCAAAGGCTGCAGACATTGGCTAGTACCCGAAGCCGACAAACAAATAACAGGCAGGGGAAACCATCCCAAGAGTAAAGCCTGTCCTTTCTTCCCCTCTTTTCTCCCCCCCCCCTTTTCCCACCTTCCCCTTCTTCTCTCCTTTCCTCCCCTCAAACCTCCAGGCTTTAAAACTGCCTTTCTTCTACTGAGCTGCAGGAAACGTCTCTCTTCCCAAATGGAAAGTCTCTGGCCCACAGGTTTTAACCCTTTTCCTCACCTCCCTCACGTCCACACCGGCGCACAGTGTGGGCGGCTGCGATGGTGGTGATGATGATGATCATCATCATTATCAGAAGAGGAGGAGGAGTGCGAAGAATAAACGCCTCTCCACTCTCACCTATTCAATTGACTGGGTCATAATTGCCCGAGGAAGAGACGGATCAGCGCTGCCTGTAACAAACACCGTGGTGGCTGAAACTGACTGGGTCCCATCAGCTTTAAACCTTTCTTGCTTTCCCTTCCATCCACCCACCCACCCCGAATACAAAAGCCCACTTGCAGGGTTAAAGGGCGGTGGTGGGAGACCTTCATTCGTAGTAAAATACACAATACACATACACGTGATTTTAAAAAAATGGCATTTTTGAATGAAGTGAAAGAAAGGGGAGACGTGAAGAACTTGGAGGTGTATGTGAACGTGTGTATGTGAGTTTTGCGTTTACCAAGGCTACGTGTATTTTAAAAGACCACTTTTTTGCCCCCATGCTACTGTGTCCCCCCCCTTTTTATCTTCCCTCTCAATAACCTTGTTTGCCTCAGAAGGTCACTCATTTCGGACACAGCCCGCTTACATGGGTACAAAGAAGCACTGCATATCTGTTCTGAAATACACACATACCCACATGCGCACGACATCCTACTTCTGGTTTCCGAAGAACAGGAAATTCCCTAACCAGTGGGGTGCGGGGTGGAGGAAGAGAATGATATTTTTAAGTTTAAAAGCCAGCTGTCATTCTGACACGGTGTTGCCCAGTCCAAAGACCTTAGAGAAACATGTTGGGAGTTCAAGAAATCAAACCTCAGAGGGGCTACCAGATGCTAGGAGGAGTCTGAAATTCAGGTCCCCAGCAGTCCATCTCCATGCTTATTTTTCTTCACCACCACCCACCATCGGCGTTGTGCACCCACCCCAATTTCAACCTTCCGGATTCCTGTATTATCGGCGTTCTTCCATGCAAATTATAAAAGAAGCAAATAGACGCCTATTTCGAGGAAGACCAGGACAATTTCTCATCTCCCGGGGACATAACCTTACCAGGAAATATAAACACAACAAAATAGGGGGAAGGAGAGAGACATCCTTTTCCTAATTATAGAAACACACAGAATTATTCGCAAGAATTCGGGTCCAGGGCCACCAATGTACACACCGGTGCAGAGAGGGAAGGAGAAGGTAAGGAGCCCCCCCCCTCCGCGCGCGCTGTAAACGCAGTCAGATGGACACCGGATTGCATTCTACTTTGTGCTCAATTGTCGTTTGCATGGTCACAGTGGTATTATTTCCTCTCCTGCACTGTTATCTCTCCCACCCTTCCCCAAAATCATTTCTCTCTCCAAAAACACTGCAGAGTTCGGTGATGGCAAAGAAATGCTGTTTAGAGAAATAAAACCTAGGACCGAGGAGAGTTCTGAAGCACCGAGCCTGGGGCGGGTGGTAGGGATTTGCCCCCAAAGGTCAACCATTTCTCACACATTCCGGCTGCCTTGGTGCAAAGAAGCCTCCCCCCCCCAAACACGTTTTGGAAGCGCATTCAAACACACGCGCACACACCAGTCAAGTCTGGGTTCTGGGTTCCGAATCCAATAAACAGGACATTGCCCAACGCCTTTAAATGATTGCAAGGTATTTCTCAAAACAGATTGGCAACGATGGGACCTTATCGTTCCATACCAAGACCTTGAGAAATGGTTTTGGAGCCGATGTGCGTCTCTGTGGATGTGGATGCGCTTTAGGGGTGGGGGAGGGGCGGGTGCGAAGCATTTCCAGACGGCTTGTTGCGGTTCTAGGGTCGACAGTCTGCACACTCTTGACGAGCGGGAAAGAAGGGGAAGCTTTCGGGGGAAAGCTGCCAACCGAACCTGCCTTTTCGGATGACAGCAGCGCAACCCCCTCCGAAATATTGGCCATTGCGGTACCCAAAGCGCCAATTTCCTCCTCCCGCTAGACCTATCCAACCTTCAGGAGCATGCGATCCAGATCCACCTTGAGCCGCGCCAGACAAAACCAGGAGCAGATCGAGGTCCGGCCACCCCGCGGGAAAGGGAACCTGACTCTGGTTAGCAAAAAGATGCGGGAACCTTTGAATAAACGTTTTGGGGGCGGACAGGCAGAATATTCGGCTGATTGTAGACCCAGATCGGTTTTAGTCATTTATTTTTTTCCCCTCCCCCTCTCTCCTTTTTCAACACAAAATGTCTCCGCCACATCCCAAGATAGTATTTTCATAAAACGGGCTGCTCTCGGGACAGAAACTTCAGGTTGCCTTGGCCCGTTATTTTTCGGTGGCTTTGAATATCAGCTGCCCGGGCAGTGGAACGAAATTATTGGGCATCTTTCTTTCCCTCGCTGCCGGTCTCCTTCCTTCTTATCTTTCCGGGGGAGGGAGGGGGGGGAGGAAGGAAGAGGAAGAATTTCGCCCTGGACAAATAGGATGCTGCCATGCACTCACTTTATCGCGGTCCCATCTTGGTGTGCGCGCGTGTCTATGTGTGCGTGCGCGCACGAATATATGTATGTTATGAGGGGAGCTGGCACGAAAGGCGATATAGCAATGCAGTTAAGGAATGGGTCCCGGGAGGGAACGTATGCATCTCGATATCTTAAATAAACTGGCAAATAAATAATTCGCAATTCTTTAAAAGCCTCCGTCAGCAAGCGCATATATGCTGTATATATATTGCAGATGCACCTTGTCCTAAATGAAGGACCGTCTCACGTTGTTCTACACGAATGACAATCATTTCCCATCAGTACAGACACGAAGGGTTAGTTTAGGGTGTTTCTTCTTCTTTTTCACATGCATACTTAGATCTTTTTTTAAAAAAAATAAACTATCCTCTCTGAAAGACTCAACCTTTTTGCCCGTAAGAGGATGCGCGTGGACTTACCTAGTTGCACAGCAAGGACGAGAGAAATGTATCTGCCGTTCAACTTAAGTCCCATCCTATATTTAGTACAACCATTTGCGACAGCAGATTTTTCTTTCTTTCTTTCTTTCTTTCTTTCTTTCTTTCTTTCTTTCTTTCTTTCTTTCTTTCTTTCTTTCTTTCTTTCTTTCTCGATTTTTAAAGTGTGTCTTGGGGGAATGTGGGGGGCTGCTGCGGCTGCTTACCAGGCATTGCCAACAAGTTCCGAGCAACCGAGAGAGACTTTTCTGCCCCCCGCTCCGTGAGTGCACATACACACGCCAAGCTGGAGGGACGTCTGGAGAAGAAGGAGAGATAGAGGGAAAAGGGGGGCAGAAAGAGAAAGAGAAGGAGAGAGGGAAGGAAGGAAGGAAGAGCAGGGAATGGTTCACTCCATTAGGAGGGGGCGGAGGAAGTACAGCCTCACGCCCACAGCCAGCCCTGACGTGGGGGATGACACTGAGTGATTTTTTTTTTTAAAAAATATGCACCTTGGAAGAGAGAAACGCCATTTATAGGCATCACAAACTGGATTTAGCTTGCTGCTCTCCCTTCCACTATTAGTCATGGCGATCTGCCCCCCCCCAAATTATTCCCTCTTTTCCGGTCGCCAGGTTGAGTGACCCCATGGGACCTTCGGGCAGCACACGCCGCCCTCTCCGCCCACCTTGGCGCACGCCAGCCAGCCGCCCGAAGCTACGGTATAGCCCCGCTCGCTCGCCCGCCCAGCTGCCGGCTCGCCTGCCCTGCCATCTTACTACAGTCCCACCTTCCTGTCGGCCCGGCGGCGGATGGGCAGGCGAGTGAGGCTGCAGCCAGGCCTGCAGGGGGCGCGCTTTCCCAATCCCCGCCGCGTCTACGGG